GCACTGAAAATGGCTCTTTCCTTTCAGTAGGCCATAATTCAAAAAAAAAATAAATAAATAAAATGACCCAGGACACTGTGTGTGTGTGTGTGTGTGTGTGTGTGTGTGTGTGTGTGTGTGGTAGGGATTAAACCCAGGGCCTTTGCCCTCGGCGGCATCCCTAGCCCTTTTATTTGGAGACAAGATCTAGGTTGCCCAGGCTGGGCTAGACTTTGCGATCCTCCTGCCTCGGTCTACCCAGGGCCTGGTGGGATTGATGTCATGGAAATATTTTGTTGTTTTTTATCGTACATGAGTATGTGAGTTCATACGAAGTCATGAAACAGCTCGCCGATTAGGTGCGTATTGTCGTATATGGACTATATTTCGATGTCTTGGGCCACGTTCTGGTGCTATGAGTTCCACTAACCGAGGCATTTGTAAAGAAAACAGGCTTCTTTAGCTCGGGGTTGCAGAAGCCTGGAGCCAGCCAGGGCATGGCTTAGCTCTGGTAGCGCCCCCTGCCGGCTGGTGCGGACATAGCAAGGAAAGCAGCCGGCCCTGAGCAGCCCAGCCGCCGACTGCATCCTACCTCCGCGATTCCAGCACTCGGGAGGCCGAGGCAGGAGGGTGGCAAGCTCCAGGCTTGGGTGAGGGAGCCATTTAGTGAACTCCTGTCTCAAAATGAAAAACAGGAAAAGGGCTTGGAATTGAGTTCAGTGTGAAGGGCTGATTCTAATCCAAAATACACCTTTAGGGGCTGGTGAGATGGCTCAGTGGTCTAAAGCACCTACTTAGAACAAGCTTAGCAAAGCAAGGGACCGCGGTTCAATCCCCCAGCACCACAAGCCAGCCAGCCCCTCCCCCTGGTGGGCTGAGCTGGCCACACACACACACACACACACACACACATAAATAAAAAAATTTAAAAATTAAAAAAAAAAAACAAAAACAAAAACAAAATACACCTTTAAGAAAAGGGAAAAAAACCTGGAAAACAGGAGATGTTGAGATTGGACCAGAGAAGGAGGAAGCCCCCCAGGAACTAGGAAAGGGAGGCAGTGGGCCCCGCCTCCCTCCCTCAGCGTCCAGAAAGGAGCTGAGTTCGCGACGGTCAGCGTGCTGGGGTCTGCACCTCAGGAGAGCAACACCCCGTCTCATGGGTCCTTTTACAGGGCTGTGTGTCTTCAGCCTGGAGGTACTCGCTGGAGATGGTGAGTGACCCCCACGGGGCCAGGCCCTAATCCCTAGGTGCCACCTGCCCTCCCTCTTCTTCTGGCCGGCTGGGATGTGGGACGACCGACCCGTGGCTTGCTTTGGTTCCGGAGCAAGCACAGCGGTTTCCATGGCGGCTCCTCCAGTTTCCTGTTCCCACTGTGGAGCCAGGGAGGTCGCAGCCTGAGTGTGTCCCGGGGAGGCGCAGAAAGTGGAGAAGAGAATTCCCAAAGCAGAATCACACAGAGCTGTGTGGTCCCCTGAGATCTTTTTTTTTTTTTTTTTTTTTTCATTTTTCTTTTTTTTTTTTCTGTGCAGGGTCGTGGGTTGTAGTGATCCTCCTGCTTTTTGCCTCCCCATGGCTGGGATTACAGGCGCGGGCCACCGCGCCCGGACTCCATCGCCGGCTCAGCGCGCCCCAGGGCGGGGCCGGCGCGCACCCGGAGCCAGGGATCGAACCCTGGTCCCTGCGCTTGTTGAGCAAGCGCTTAGTCCGCTGAGCTGTACCGCCGGCCCTTCCCCTGAGATCTTTATGGAAGTGTGGAGGTCCTGAGGAGAGGGTTGAGGTCCGACGACCTGGGTTTAGCCCGCTGTGGACCTGCTGCCCAGCTGCGTGATCTGGTCGCCACGGGCCTTTCTGTCCTGCAAGTCCGAGCAGGCAGAGACCGGCTGCTCCGGGCGGCACAGCCGTAGGCGCCGGGCCCCTCTCCAGGGAAGCGGGCCGCGACGCTCGGTGACTCCCGAAGAGAGAAGCAGGCAGCGATGATCACGAACAGGTTGAGCACAGTGTCTGCGGGGCCCCTCAAGGGGCCGACAGGCGGTGCCAGAATCCACTGCAGCGTCCCAGAGGCAGGCCCAGGGGCTGTCCTGCGGGTGCAGGCACCAGGGCATTTCCCAAGGGCCCTGCCGGGCTGGGCAGGATGCTCCCGGGGGCAGCAGGCTGTCTTGCGAAGCACAAGCTGCCGAGCGCATCCCCGACCTCGTCATCAGACCTTTTTGGAATCTCTGGTCATTTTTCTCAGTGTCTCATATTATTTTGTTTTCTTTCTTAGATAAAACTAAAACGCAGAAACCTTTCCTTCCACAAACTGGTAAGAGAATGGAGAAGCGTTTCTTTTCTTTCAGAAAAATTTGAACAATATCATAAAATAAAAATCACAATAACTTAACAATGAGCCAGAGTGGCGTATGCCTTTAATGCCAGCACTTAGGAGGCTGAGGCAGGAGGATCACCATGAACCTGAGGCCAGCCTGGGCTATGCAGGGTGATCCTGTCTCCAAAATCCAAGTCAAACCCAACCTGGCGAGCCAAAGCCCAGTCACACACCCGCCTCCCAGAATTGTAGTTGCTCAGTTAACCACGTTTACTTCGAGTTGCTTTCTTTCCACAAACAGAGACAAAACAAAAGCCCCCCCTCCCCCAGCCTCTCCCCAGCAGGGACTCTACACTCGGTGCTGTTATTTCCAAGCGCGGTTTTTTACTTCCCGAGTATAGACTGGCCTTTGTAAACAGCCTAGAGAGTCTGGCACATGGTCGGACCACAGTGTGACCTGTCTTGTTCGCCACTTGATTTTCTTGTTTTTCACTCAAGAACTGTTTAGTGTGAGTAAAACGGGAGCAACGACAGCACCCCAGAGAAGTAGAGAGGCGCCAGGTAAGAGGACAGACCCAGGGCAGGCCCCGTGTGGAGGGCAGGGCGCGTCTGGGGCGGCTCAGCCCTGCCTGCTCTCTCCCAGGCACCCCCGGGATCACCCTCCTCGTGGTCTCCGGTGTGATCGTCCTGCTCGCTGCCTTTATCGTCTACAAATACGGCCGGTGTGGTACGTCCTGAGGACCCTCCTGAGCGGCTGGAGGGACGGGGCGTAGAGGCTAACACCGGGGTGACCTTCCTTGTCTCCTCTATCAATCACCAGGAGCAGCTGCTGACAGCATGACCAAAAGGTAGAGATCTGTCACATGTCCTCCACGACTCCCTGACACCCCCGACTCCCACCTGACCCCAACCTTCAGCAGCCGCGGGCCAGCTCGAATGGCCACTGGCTGCTCTCTGTCCACGTCCTCACGGGCACCCCCGCAGCCCCTGGAGTCTGTCCCAGAGCCTGCCCTCGACTCCCCGTGCTCCTGGCGTGCGAGCAGAGGGGACGCAGGCTTGCAAGGACTTGTGCTGCAGCCCGGTCTGCACCCCACTCCTGTCTCCCCGAGGTCATCGATGGTGACCTTGGCTTTTCCCTGCAGTACTTTTCCCTGCTTCTTTCCCCCTCAGCTCTAGCTCTTCCAAGGAGCCAGAAGAAGTGGCGACAACAGGTAACCAGCCTGGGAAAGAGGTGTAGCCCCGGAGCCTGTGTTCATGCAGGCATGCATGCGTGCATGTGTGGTGTGTATCTGCATGTGAGGATGTCTGGGGGAGTGTGCAGCATATGTTATGATTGTATGTGAGTGAACATGCCCTGTGGCCTATGCATGCATGTGTATTGGATGTACATATGTGTGCATTTGAATATGTGCATGTATAGGTGTGACTGTGAATCCTCATGCATCAGCTTCATTGGATTAAAAGATGCAGGCTGGGGGGGGCCTGGAGAGATGGCTCAGTGGTCTAAAGCACCTACTTAGAACAAGCTTAACAAAACACAGGGATCGCGGATCAATCCCCAGCACCACATGCCAGCCAGCCCGCCCCCTGGTGGGCTGAGCTGGCCACACACACACAAAATAAATATAAAAAAAAAAAAATGCTGGCTGGGCATGGTGGCACACTCCTGTAATCCCAGCACTTGGGAGGCCAAGGCACAAGGATCACTACAATTTTGAGGCCAGCCTGGGCTACATGAGACCCTGTTTAAAAAAAAAAAAGGCTAGCAGGTTAGTATAGCATGCTCCCAGGTTTTTCTTGGGGTTGCAGATCTGGTCCCTGCCCTCGCGCTCTGGAGCTGTCCCCTGCTCCGCTCCCGGCCGCCATAACCCAAGCAGCCTCGCCCCCCTGCAGGCTTCCCCCATGACACTCCTGCCAGGGAGCCGCTTTACGTGAATATTCACGTGTGTGTGTGTGTGTGTGTGTGTGTGTGCGTGAGGGATGAAGCCACAGCAGTCTCTCCCTCAGGTACATCTGCAACTGTGAGGAATTGCCTCTCCACCCGGGTGACGAAGGTTCCCCCAGGCCCCTCTCCCTCCACCCGCTTCCTCTAGTTTTGCCTGCCTGCTGTCACCCACTCCCTCCTTGCCCTACATTGTGGGCCAAGCCAGCTTGAGTTCCCCCATGCCCTTTCCAGCTGGGAAACCCTGGCCTGCAACTTCTGTTGTCTGCAGATTCCACCCTGGGCTGAGAAAGCTAAGGGCAGAGCTGTTGGGAGAGCAGGGCCCGGGGCTGGGGATAGAGCTCTATGGCGCAAGGGCCTGCCTGGCAAGCGCAGGGTCCTGAGTTTTACTCCTGGTACCAAAAACAAAAAAGGACAGCAGGCCCAGCATGGCACCCAGCCCTCGCACCACTGCGGGGCCTCCGCCTGGCCTCGGGCAGGCGCCTTCCTCCTTGGCCCTCATTTCTGCATCATGCAGTGGGCATCAAACACTCCCCGCCCAGGTGCCGTGAAGGAGTGGTGCAGGCCTTCTGGACAGCCCTCTCCAGTACAGAGCACACAAAGTCCCACGGAAAGTTGGGCAGCAGTTACTGATAGTACGCCTGCTTTCCTTTGTGATTCTGTTTTTCTTTATTATTTTTTAATGTGTTTACTACAGGGTCTCACTCTGTAGATCGGACTCGTAGTGATTCTCCTGTTTTCAGACTCCCAAGCACTGGGATTACACATGCGCACCGCCACGCCCAGCCGTCTCAGCACACCCCGGGGCAGGCTGGCACTGGCATCGAACCCTGACCGCTATGCCCTGCCTCAGCAGGCGCTTTAGTTCGCTGAGCTATCTGAATGACCCAATTCTGTTTTTTAAAACTGTGGTAAAATTCATACCAAAATAAATAAATAAATAAATAAATAAATAAATAAATCCACGGGCCTCCCCACACCCCTCCTCCTGCCCAGCCTGTTCATCTGGAAGTGTGTGTGTGTGTGTGTGTGTGTGTGCGTGTGTGTGTGTGTGAGAAATAGAGAGACAAGGCCTCGCTCTGTAGCCCAGGCTGGACTCAAACACACACCAGTCCTCCTGCCTCAGCCTCAGCCCCAAGTGCTGGGGTGGTGGACGTGTGCCCCTTGGCCTGGGTCCAGAAGTCGCCAGCTCCATGTGACGTACTGAGCACTCGTAGCATACTCTGTAGTCCTAGATCCCCGAGACCACCCCAGAAGGGCGCCACGGGCCTCCCCACACCCCTCCTCCTGCCCAGCCTGTTCATCTGGAAGCAGCCGGTGTCACAGCACACGCTGACGGCTGACACGTCGCCGCAAACTGGCGGCAGACACATGTCCCGCGGCGGGTCAGGCATCGGGCTCTGCTGCGTGCTCTGGATGTAGGTCTCACGAGACCCATCGGGGGCAGACGCCCTCAGCACCCTCCCCAGGGCCCCCTCCATGGTGTGGCTCCGTCCCAGAGATGAGAGGGTCCCTGTGCCATAGCTGTCACCCAGGTTCGCACACACGCCCCTCTTATTTGCAGGGCTCTGCTCACGAGAGGACGTCACCAGGTCCAGCTGGCCCTCAAGGGAGGGCCACATGGTGATCAGAGTAACGGGCCAGTGAGAGCCATCCTGAGTTCCAGCCCCTGCGTTGTGACACTGTGACATCGCCCTGAGTGTGACCCTATCCTCTGCTTACCTGCAGGATGAAGGACCTCAGGCCTGCCGAGCTGGGGGAGCCCCAGGGTGACCTCTGTCTCGCCTGGTGACACAGCCCCGAGGGAGGGGCCCTCCAGGCAGCATCCACAGCTGCAGGAGGTCATGACACAGCAGGAGGCTGCTGCTCCCAGGACCTCAGATGAGGGCCCAGGGCCGCTGCGGTGTCTTCCTTCCCATGTCCAGTGAAGCCTTCCTTTCTTCCTCTAACAATCTCTTTTCTGGAATGAGAGGTGTCAGGCTGGACATGGCGGCACACACCTGTAGCCCCAGGAAGGTCACCTCGTTGAGAGTTCCAGGCAGGCCTGGGCTACAGGGTGAGGCCCCGTCTCAAAGAGCAAAAATAAAAAGAAAGTAAAATGAAATAAAACAAAGGGTATCCTTTATATAGAATAAAATGCACCAGCCCTTCCTTCCTTCCTTTTTCTTCCTTTCTCTCTCTCTCTCTCTCTCTCTCTCTCTCTCTCTCTCTCTCTCTCTCTCTGTTTCTGCACCACTTACCCCGACGTGCAAGGGTCCCAGTTCATTATCCACCTGCCCACTGGACATTTGGGGGTTCCCGGGAGGGCTTTTGTGGGTGAGGCCTCTCTGCTCTCTGAGACATCACACACCCTCGCCCCTTTCTCTTGCATTTGTGCCTACACTGGGTGTTAGGTCAAAGGACAGGTGACCTTTTTATTAAGCAAGTGTCAGGTTTCCAAAGGTGTCACCCCCTCTTGCTTCCTTCGTGGTAAGCAAGCTGTGACCTCCTCCACAGCCAGACCCCGGTCTCTTTCCCAGCCAGAGGGCACACTCTGGGGACTCTGGGGAGCCACCTTCTGCCTTCTGTGCCCTTGGCCAAGCTGCTTGAGCCCCACCCCAGCCCGCCGACCTCTTGGAGCCGGTGGCCGAGTGCTGTGACACAGTTAATGTCTTACAAATAAACACAAGCAGATAGGCCGAGTGGTTCTCAGTGAACTACTGGACACATTCAGAGTTCAGAAATGACTCTGGGGGCTGGTGAGATGGCTCGGTGGTCTAAAGCACCTACTTAGAACAAGCTAAGCAAAAGCACAGGGACCGCGGTTCAATCCCCCAGCACCACATGCCAGCCCGCCCCGCCCCCTGGTGGGCTGAGCTGGCCACACACACACAAGATAAATAAATAAATGTTTAAAGGGCTGGTGAGATGGCTCGGTGGTCTAAAGCACCTACTTAGAACAAGCTAAGCAAAAGCACAGGGACCGCAGTTCAATCCCCCAGCACCACATGCCAGCCAGCCCCACCCCCTGGTGGGCTGAGCTGGCCACACACACAAAAATAAATAAATAAATAAATGTTTAAAAAAAATAAATAAATGTTTAAAAATAAATAAATAAATATATATATATATATTTTTAAAAAATGACTCTGTGTGTGTGTGTGTGTGTGTGTGTGTGTGTGTGCTATTTTGAGACAGGGTCTCACTGTATGTTCAGGCTGGCCTTGAGCTCACTGTGTAGCCCAGGCTGGTGATCAGACTCTTCAGCCTCCTGTGTGCTGGGGTGGGAGGTGTGTGCTACTGCAGCCAGCCGGAAGTAACTTTGCACAGTATCAAATTAGCCTCTCCAGACGCAGCTTCCAGTGACTCTATTTACATGAAAAGCAAAGCAGAAACCGGCTCCAAAATCAAAGCCCAAGCGGGGCTCCAGCTCGGGCCTCACCTGCACCCCAGTAGCAGCAGCAGCGTAGCTGAGGTGCAGGGAATGAGCTGGGAGGCAGAGGTCCTGTCCCAGTCGTGCCTTCCCTCCGCCGCTGCCGGCCCCTGGCTGCCTGGTCCTGCGGAGACCTTGCAGCCCGCGTCCAGGGCCTCTGTGTTTACTGCAGAATTTCCAGCATCCATGAGAGTGTGGCGCTCCCGACCTCCAACCCTTTGGGGTTACCACCCATCAGGTCCCCAAAGCGTGAAGGGCTGGCAGTGTGTGTGTGTGTGTGTGTGTGTGTGTGTGTGT